TAGTATCAGACTTAAATGATTTGGCTCAAACCGGTTTATGCAATGTCTGCCCTGGACACATTGCTGGTTTAAGATAAACCAGACTCCCCCAGCAACCCAGCATGCTCTTGGGCTGGGCAGGGCTCTCTGCTCCAAAGCAGGGCTGGACCCTCCCCTCTGCTCTCTAACTGAAGCAGGGGCAGGGTGTGGCCAGATGCTGGCCTGCCATGGCCCTCCAAGGCAAATTTCTCCCTCTGCCCCCTCTCACCCTCCTCCCCCAAATCCGCTAGCGAACTCTGGGAACCGCAGCTGCTGTTTGCCAGCCGCAGCTACACCTCCATGGCTTGCCTGCAAACAGGCAGGGACAGAGTTAATTGCTCACTGTCCCTTCTCTCCCCTGGAACACCCAGGGCTTTGGCTTTAGCTTCAGCCTCTGCCCCATGTCCCAGAGGAGAGAGACAGGCAAGCTAGTGTGAAGGTGGCAAGTGTTGGCAAAGACCTGACAATCACATATGCTGATTAAGAATTAAGAGAGGTTGCAAACAGCTTTACATCTTAAGTTAAACTAACCTGTGTATGCTGTGTGTTACTGACCTGTATCTTAGCCTAGGCAAAGATTTTTGGTAGTTCCCTGCTGTATGCTTTGCAAATTGCTGTGTTCAATATATGCTTGCTTCAGAGAAAGGACTTTCACCATCCCCTCTCTGCTAGCCTGGGTTGGTGCCTGGCCCTGCCCGCTCCACTCCAGCAAGGAGGGGTGAGAGCCTTGGAGGGCATCTTTCTTCCCTCCCCTTTGGCAGGGGCTGGCAGGCATGCTCTAGTGCCCCCCGGCTTCTGGCTTCAGCCACTGCAGGCATGTGGCTGCATTTCCTGATTTAACAGAAAATGTCTGTCCAGTTATTAATCTGGTGTGTCTGGTTTCTCTTAGACTAACCTGCAAAGAGGGAATCAATTCAGGCTCGGGCTTTTTCATCGTCTGTCCCTGGCCTTGAAAGCTACTGAAGTTTACTAAACAAGTGGGTGCTTACTCCGGCCCCCTGATGTGAGAGCCACAATACTTTGCACAATTGTTACTCGGTTGACATTTTGGAATTGTTCGATTGTCACATGTGTCTGCACCTTTTAGATTTCGTGCTGTCTTCTTCATGAGGACATGAGTGTGTTTAGGGAGCAGGGAAGAGGGGCACTGCATTTTTAAAATGAAATATGAACTAAAAACTTCAGCTGAAGAAAAGTAAGAGGTAAGATTTAGCATTTACATTAATCAAGCAAAAGAATGACTAAGTCTAAATAAATTGTTAAAAGCCATTAGTGAACAGACAGAACTGTTAGCAACAATAGTTAAATCAGTCTAATGATTACACTGTCTGAAGTAGGAGTGAGGTGATGTGAACATCTATTTCGAGTGCAGATCTTAACCTTTTAATAAAATCCATCTTCACAATGGCCACTGAGGAATGTGACTCCCATAACACAGCTTATGTCCACTTCACTGTAATATTTGTACATTCTGTCATTCATATATCATTGACAATTTTTTTTTTTTTTTTTTTTTTTATACTAGAGTTCTAGTTTTTTTTAAACTTTTCAGTGTATTTCCTTTAACTCAACTGGTATTAATGACATTTGCCCCTTTGTAACAGTTAGTACTTCCACAGAATTTATTGCACAAGTTTCCAGCTCTTGAGGTAGTGTGTGAAATGTTTGGCATTGTGAAGGAAGCAAAGCTTTCACTCCACAAGCACTTGGGTCAGAATGCAAAAAAGACAGTCAGCATGGATCCTCTTGTAGATACTTGTGCTTTATGCACACGAGAATTAGAGATGAAGGATTCGCAGGGAAAACATAGCAGCATAGGTGGTGTTCACAGCTGCCTACAGGGCTGCTCTGGCAACCATATAGCCAGGATGTCTTAATTCTTCCGTTGAGATCTGCAATATATCCAGCAGGAAAGGAGTCACCTTTTCTCATACCAGAAAATTATTTTGTGAACAAGTATGTGGTAACTTGCCATATGGAACTGCAGTGAGGCAAATGAGGAAACTGCTAACAGCCAAATGTAGGTCCTTGTCATAATGGCATGTCTTTCATAGATTTGGTATTTCCTATACTTGTGTAACAATCACTGATCCTGCACTTAGATGGAAGCAGTAGTACTCAAACTTTTCTAAAGCAGCAAATAGAGTGCTTCTCTACCCACTTAGTTGCATCTTGGATGGTAGCTGGAGTTTGCCAGAGACTGTAGCCTTGTTCCATTAAGTCCTCATTTAGAGAAACAGCAATTCTAACTGGGGGAAATATAATTAAGATTTGAAAGAGTTTGTGCAATTTCTCTTATATGAGCATTGTTTCAATATCCAGCACCTCTATAAAAGCCCCAGAAGATCCTGAAATGCACTAGCATCATTGCCATCAAAACGGGGACTGGTATGACCTCTCTGTCAAGCCATTTTGACAGAGAGGTCATACCAGTCCCCGTAAGACATTTTTCAGTGGCAAATACAACACTGCTGTTCTTCCATGCTCCCAGTTCTTGGGTCAACAGCTGGGATACCAATGCTACTGGGGAATCCAATCTCTCTGACTTCCTCAACCTACAAAAGGAACTACTACAGCAGACCTAATTATGATACCCAGGACAGCCAATATGGTATGGTACTGGGTAGTTGAGGTTGGTCAGCCCAGTGCTGTTCCTGTCTCCCCAGTACTACCCTGACCAGATGAATCTCCAGGGACTCTCAGAAGGTCATAGAAATGTAACTCTATTCAACACCAAGGAGAAGATATAGTCAGTACTCCTCCTGAATAACAGTGCTACTGGCATGATTTCTAAGCTCTAATTCTACTGTTTCACCAATACCAATGATATTCCCAGAGCTCTAAACTTGATACAACAGTTGTCACTGATGTCATCACTGGTACTGTCGGAAGAACTTGGAAGAGCAATGTACTGGGGTACTCTCTCTCCATCGCTGGAGTCATATTGGAGCTCTGTTCGGCCCTTTCACATGGCACTGCCCTTTATATTTGGGTAAAGGTGTCAACTCCAGTACAGAAGTTGTCAATGAGCAGAGGGGCTGGTTCCAGTCTCAATCCCAAGTTTGTTAGTACTGCTGCGAAAGTGTTTTCCAGTTATGGAGGAACACCAGCAGGTGCCAACAGCTTTGGCACTGGAATGATCATATCAATATAATTACCACTTGCTGGATAAGACTAGATGCCCTTTATTAGGCTTAAAGAAATAACACAGAATGTATAACTAGAGAGACTTTAATCACTGTCTGCCAACTGATTAGACCAGGGATCTCTCACAGCCTTCCTAAGGTTTTGGAAAAACCTTGACTCAACAAAGCCTTGGCCTTTATCAGACCTCCCCCTCCCCCTTCACCCCACCTCTTTCAGTTTAGCAAGATTTCTGCTTCTGACTATGTTCTCCCTTCCAGCCCCCTTCCTGGAAGACAGTACCAGGCTCACCTGGGCTGCAGGGAGTTTCAAAAACCTTACAGAGAACACCTGGAAGACGATAAATTAAGTGACACGGCTTCTAGGAAGACAAGGATGTTTGAGAGAAGGTTCAAAAACAAGGGGACAACAAACTGGCACATATAACAAAGTAGTGAAATAGGGTACACCTGCGTGGGTGTGGTAACTGCTGATTGGTTTTCTGATTCAATCATCAGAACCTGATTGGCTTCTATAGTTTTTAAATGTATTACATAGGTATAAAAGATGTAACTGGTCTATCACACTTCAGACATATAGCCTCTGCTCGCTTTCCCTCTGTCAACTGGTTTGATCAGTAGGCCAACAGTGATTAAAGTCTCTCAAATTATACATCCTATGTTACTTGATTAGGCTTGAAGAAATATCATGTATAATAAACCAGGAACAAAGAGAAATTATATGGGGATGGGGCCAACCCATTTACTCAAAACCGTGTTGTATTGATTTCAAATATAAACTGTCATACTGCTTCCCACACTTCCTTTGCTACTAGCCCCTGAGATCTGCTGCTTGAACAGAGAACAAACCCTGGATTACCTGGAGGCAGATATGCATTTTCTGAGTCGGAAATGGTGTGCACTGATTGCTCTAATAGTTTTAGGTTTAGGCCTGAATCCCTCCAATTGAATCCCTCAATTTTCAGATTTACACAGTGAGCACAGAAGAGGCATCTGTTATGCTCATTGATCAGGGAATTGAGTCTAGCTCAGGTCAGAAGATTTAGAATCCAGGAGACAGTGGATCTCACTTCGCTGTATAGGGGGAAGGCCCCAACTTTGAACTATGTACATGCATAATAAGAGGTAGTCCTTGCCCCAGAGGGCCTGCAATTTAAATAAGTAAACCAAAGGATGAAGAGAAGAAAGTAATTTGTTCATAGTCAAAGGAAGTCCAGAGCACAGCCAAGAACAAAACTGAATACTCCTTTGTGTAAGGAGTTGCCTGACTGGCTCCCCTGGTTCTGTTGTGTTATAGTTCCTAAAAACTTCAGCTTTTCCATCAAACTACTCTCCTCATGTCATCCCTTATTAACCGGTGTCTGACTTAAACAACTACTTAAATTCATGCACATTATTTTGACCTTGCCCATATTGCATACTGTACATTTAAAAACCAGTAACATGCACCTTGATAATCTACCTAAAGTATTTGGAAGCCATCTTCATTCTACTGATTTTAAGATTCAGCCCATGACAGTTGAATGCTTTTCACTGTATAAACTTATCTTTATAATAAAGACCCATCAGGAATCAGCAAAAAAACAACATGCTAATTTCTAGAATTTATTACCATACAGCATAGAAATCCTGCAGGTGCAGGCTTTGGCCAATACTGTTCTATTATGATAGCCCATTGCTTCATGACTTCTGCATTGCTCGTTCATAATAAATCAAAGATCACATTTTATTTGTTCAGCCACCAAACTCTTTAATTCTATAAGCCATTTTATTGTATGCAGCACAAAGTTTTAGTGCATCAGAAAATTATTTTATTAAATTTGCAATAAAGTTAAGTACCTCAGGCCCTGTGATATGCATGAGACCAGAAACAGCAGCTGCAACAGAATCATAGCCTCCTCTCTGAAACACCGGACCAGTCTGACCATAACCTGAAACACAAGAACAACTATATAAAAAGCTATGCATGACACACAATTGAGATATAGATTACTACTCCAGGTCTTTTTAAAAGAGCTGAATTCAATACATTCTCATCAGTTTCTATACACGCATTGTCTCAATTATTCAGGCAAAATATCAAGTTAATACTATAGTTATACATCTTGCCTTAGACCAGCAGCCAGCAACCTTTTCAAGACACGGGCTGGAACAACCCAGCTCTGGTCCGATGTGGGCCAGGTAGATTCCATGGAGAGTCGGGGGGTGTCTTTCCTTGCACTCATGATGAGACCAGGAAGATGGGAGCTGCACCCCTACTTCTCCTAGCCCCCTGTCCATTCACCGGGGCATGACTGCAGCTTCCAGACAGCAAAGAGCTGCAATTAGGCTGGTCAGCTGGAAGCTGTGTCCATGCTGCTACCTATCTGCACTGTAACTGGGAGGCGATGGGCAGGATAGGGAAGGGGAGAAGGAGAAGCCGCAGCAGCATGGATACAGCTTCTAGCTGCCCAGTCCTGGTATAACTCCCTGCTGACTGGAAGCTATGCCCATGCCACAGCCAGGGGGACACTGGGGGGCATGGGGAAAAGCAACAGTGGCACAAACGCAGCTGAAAGTTTCCTGGCCCCAGTGCAGCTCCTCACTGCTTAGCCCTAGTACAGGAGCAGGCACAGGCATATGCAAAACCTTTGGACTCAGTGGTTCAACAGGCCAGATACAGCCTGAGGGTCATATGTTGCCAACTCTCGCCTTGGGCTAAAGAACAAATTCTATCCTAGTGCCTAACAATGTGCTCTCTAAGGCACTGTTACTCCATGAATACTGAGGCCAATAAATCATTTGCAGGGCAATATCATGAACCCATTAAGTTCAATAGGAATACCAGTCTCGTGCTACTTAGGGTTTTTTCCCCTAAGCTAACTCAGTCCATCACTAATGGTGACAAAACCAGCCCCTGAGTAAAATACTTAAAATTAATTTTGACAGACTGGAGTTGGTCAATAGCTTTGAAATGCTGATAAAAAAGAAAATCCTTTTCTATTTTTAATACATTTTTTTATCAGCCATGCAATTCGCATTAAAATTATTACTTATTTTTAATTAATAAACTTTAACTTAATAATTACTTAAGTATGGGTAGTATAATAGCGATGTTGTAGCCTTAATACCATATTTACCTTAATACAAGATGATGTTGACTGTAAGACTACCCCCCAATAATTAGACTCCACACAGAAAATTTATAAATTTATTATGGAATCTAATTAGTGGAGGATCATCTGAAATTAGTGCATGTCCCCCCGCCCCACTACTGCAGGTGGTGGGGGAAGAGGTAATGAGGGAGCAGTAATGGTTGTGGGGGACAGACAATGGGGGAGGCAGTAGGAGGGGCAGGCAGTGGGCAGCAGGTGGTAGAGGGCAGGCAGTGAGAGAGGCAGGCAGCTTGCCCCCTTGCTGACTTTGGCACCCCCCCCCAACCCACCACTGTGCCTGCCCCTCTCCCTTAGCAGCCTCAGGTAGTCCTGTTTCCCCCTTCCCTTGCTCCCCTTCCTCCTCTGTCCATGCTATTTCTGTCACCCACAGCCTCAGGTCCCTACCCACTCCTGAAGTCTTTCCCCCCATTCCTGCCCTTCAACCAACCTCTTCCCCCCCACCTTAACTTTTCTCCCATACCAGCATCCTCTGTCTGTGCTACAGCCCAGGGCATGGAGCATCGCTCTAGCCTGGCCTTACAGCAGTGGCACGGAGCTAGCACTGCTGTTCCAGCCCAGCCCACAGCAGCAGGGAACCAGCACTGCTGCTATGGGGCCAGGCTAGAACAGCAGTACCAGCTCCGTGCCCCTGCTATGGGCCTGGGCTGGAGCCATACTCCGTTCCCTGGGCCGCAGCAACGACAGCCTGCTGGTGTAGGAACAAAGGCAAGGAGGAGTGAAGCAGAAGGGGAGAGAAAGGGAGGGGTGGCATGAAGAGGAAAGAGCCTGGGGACTGTGGGGGAAGAGTGGCAGGGCATGCAGAGTCGGGGGTGAGGACATGTAGCAGCTGTGGCTCTGGCTCCAGCCCCATCCCCAGGCTGGAGATGGAGCCAGAGAAGCTGATGTTTCCAATGGAGATAAACAGGTAGAAAGATGCAGCATCGATAAATAAATCCTACTCTGCAACTGAATAGCAAAAGGACCAAAGGAGAGTCTATTAAGCACATACGGAAGTAGGATCTGCCATCTAACATGTTATTTGATTATTGTGGCCTTCTTACTAAACCAAGTTAGTTCTTTTAGGGGAGCTTGAGAAGAAACTGCAGCCATCTAACTACAAATTCCATCAGACCAACAACAGAAAACCCTGCAGTAATTGTAGACTTTATAGCTCAAGTATGCCAAGTCTGAAGCAAAAACAAAAACGAAAACTTTTCAAGAACTTTTTGATACCATATGGAGGAAAGCTATTCAATCCCAACTGGTTTAGAGGGTAGATATCATGTCTGGCAGTTATGTGGAGATGTCACTGAAAAAAGATAAACAAGAGAGGAGAAAGACTATTACACCAACAGAGTTTGTAAAACTGGATCCTGACACTCCTTTACTTGTTCAGGTGGAGATGTTTTGGCCTTCTTCAGCAAAACAGGGTTATTACAACCGTCAGCTAAACAATACCAGAGATGGAATTCAGGTATGCAATCATCTGTCTGCTGCCCTAAAAGAAGCAGATATTTGGCTTGTCATCCATCTATTTTGATGCAGTTTCATCCGGTTTCACACAGGTCATAATGCTGCCTAATGGTACAGATGATGTCCTTCTCCAATATCTGTTTCAACTGTTTGAAAAAGGACTTTTGGAACTTTGGATTAATGCAGGCTTGGGTGATAAAGTAAAATTAGTTCCTCTTCACACGCTTGGACAGAAATTAGGACCAACTTTGGGTAGTGTTCTTATTAAGGCTCACATTCTCACAGGATGTGATGACACCAGCAAAGTGGGAAAGAAAACTATCAGAACTAAACGCATCACCAGAGAAATTCCTTTTAGATTTTGCTGAAGATAACTACATTCTCAGAAAATGTGCTAACAGAGCCAAAGAATACCTTGTTAAGGTCCTACACCCATCACTTTATTGCAAAAGATTTGATGAGCTTCATTTTGCACTGTACAAAAGTAAACCAATTTCACAGCTTCCCCCCACTTCTTTCTCTATTTGAAAAGGACATCTCAGGAAATGCTTCTTTGTGACACGTGAATGTTTTAGCTTGGATGACAGCAGCTACAGAAGTATGTTAAATCTGAAAGATTTTCAGTGGTACAAAGACCCAAGTGGAGCTCTTTTTCCAGACAAATATCTTCATTCTGTTCCTGATGATGAATTATTGCTGACATTTAACTGTGCAGCATGCATAACTGCAAGATGCAAGTGCCAAAAAATTACATTTCTTTTATTGAATACTGCAAATGTGGTGAAAACTGTATAAGGAAAACCAGTAGTCTAATGGATGATGTGTTGGATCATCCCAAACCATTAAAAAAAAATTTCAATAATCGCATTGATTTGTTTAATATCATGCTGTATGTTATAGCATTTCTTATTAATTCCACATTGATATTCCAGTTTTATGTACAGCATTTAGATTTCAACTGGTATGTAAGAAAAGACGTCATAAATAAAGTAATGTTAAGATAATCTGCCGTGAGAGAATTGTGAACCCTACTTTCTTTTGCCACTATGACACTGGAAACATCTTTATTAGACCTTTATTTGACCTTGAAAACACTGGGTTAGACACCAAGATTACTTAGGAGATGCCAGTCACCAAAGAGCAATTGTTGCCATGTTTAAAGATGGTGCCCTTCCACCTTCTGTGCATCAAATGGTGAAGTCTACCCAAGTTTGTTTGTTTTTTATCCTTACATGTGTTTTCTTAAGTACAGGTGGTTACTTTACTCAGGTTTGACTTTTCTACAGTGGGGGTCTATGCCAGGGACTGAACTATTAAGGGGAAAAAACAACAAGACTAGGCTAAGTAGTTATGCTGGTACAGAACTGTGTCATCTCAGTCTTACAAGGTGGGGACTTTCAAAAGAACCCAAGACAGTTAAATGCCTAACAGCTAAATGAAATCCCTCTCGTTTCTTTTTAAAAAATCCC